ATCTCTCAGTAAACAGTGGACGTGGGGGAACTTACAACCTCTATGATGTGAGGTAAATATGGCAATATTGTACTCTTAATTGTATCTCTCAGTAAACAGTGGACGTGGGGGAACTTACAACCTCCATTATGTGAGGTAAATATGGCAATATTGTACTAATTGTATCTCTCAGTAAACAGTGGGCTTAGGGAGGTGACAATCTTCGTGATGTGAGGTAAACATGGCAACCACTGTCACCAAGGAATTCGGCATATTATTAGAGTATTATATTCCATTATTTATATGACTCTGTGTTTCTGGGCGTCCAATTTAGAATTCATTGTTTTAACTAAGAATCTTCATGGTCGTTGGATAAATGAATAACCAACATGTACTATTATGTGTTAAATTGGAGACACACAAAGACGTATCTATTACAACATACAATACGGGATTTGATCTCACGAGTGCCGTGCCACTGTGGGCAGATGCGATACCTGTCAGATAACAGAAAGTGTTATGAAAACGGAACAGTGAACAAAGTGGCACTAGTCACAATTGACACAATATAGTGGTCTATTCCTGTAACATGCAGACCAGCAGTTTGGTTTTAAAATGGGTGTGTATGTTCCCTTATGATATAGAGCTTTGGTAATCTGATGTTTCAGGGGTTAGAGCATGTAAGCTTGTTGTTTCTGTTTGATCTCGTCAGGAGATCAATAAAATCATCCTTCAATCAGGCTAACTGTCATTTGAGAATATATTTTAGTAAAATATGTATTATTAGAACTTTACAATTTGTTTACAGACTTTACCAACAACCTATCATGTTATCATCCAGTCAGCAATAAATCGACACTGCTGTGTATTATCCAGTCAGAAAATGCTGTTTTGTTTTACTGTCAGTATGAACAATATAAATGTACCAAACAAATGGAACGAATTATTATTTAAATATGAAAATGCATTATGTAATTCAATGAGTCAATTAACAAATTAATGCGCCTGGAAATCTTAACAGTTTTAATTAATGATAACGTCCTTTTAGTCATAATCTAATCATCAGTTATTATGGCTGTTTATACACAACAATTACTAGGATGAATAAATGTGTTTCGTTTTATCAGTGTACCATCGTAGATGAAAGTCAAGGTATATGAGAGAACTATGCCCATTGTTGTTGGATAATATATTAACCAGTTTGTGACCTTGATCACCTTCGATTTTAGTATGTTTTTAAGTCTATTTTTCTGATTATTGGTTAAATTTACCTAAAATTGTCTTGTTCTTGTGGTTATTATAACTCAAACCATTTTTATCTAATGATCTAATGATTTGGGAGTGTTAGTGGTCACCATTGTTTCCCAACCTAGTTCAGTTATGGTGTAACTGGCAAGTTAACGTAATGTGTAAAATTTGGATGAAATGAAGACGTTTATACTGCTGATAATGAAACCAGATGGTGGTAATGCGCTCTCCATATTAGATAAGTGAACGATAAATTATCTTTTAAATTATCTTACTTTTGCGTGTGGAACATGTGTGCATCTGAAACTTGCTACACAGATGATGCCCGGACCTGATTAGTATTATATTCCATAATTTGCAGCAATTAGTGGATTTTCATTTTTCCCCCCGCTTTTTGGTCTTAATTATTCATGCCTGAACTTTAGCCTTTATGATTTTCCAAAAATCTGGAGATATATAACTACATTATTTTAAGTCTTTTAGACTCAATCTTGACCTGCAAAAAAATCGTGTATTGTTAGTTTGTATTCCTCGATCACTTTGTTACTTTTTCTAGAATATTAATGGTCAAGGTTGTAATAGTTGCGTTTTTTTTATTTATGTTAAACATATTTATTTTTTAAAAATCATTTTCTGACATATTGTTCAAATTATCTTTTCATTCATTTTTCGCAACTTTCCAGTCAGATTTACCGAATTCTCAGACGTTTTCAACTCACGTTTTTGACTTTCCAGCCAAACGTTAATAACAGTTTTTTTTTTAATTTTCATAAAAAGGTCTTTACATTTGCGCGAAATTTCAATACAAATTTGTTTCCAACATAAAAGATTGCCAAATGTTTAGATTTGCTTGGAAATGTGGCCTACATCCTGATACCACCATGCAACGTGACATTACAGACACAAACACCACCAGTCTGAGGTGGTGTTTGTTTTATGATGAATTCAATTGTTGTAAGAGAATACTATAAGGTTATTACGAGAATACCTCAAAGTATGCACAAAGACAGTACAGCTGGAGTATGCAAAGATCGATACGGGCGTGCTGCCTGAGTGCATACTTTGAAGTATTCTCGTAATAACCTTATTATTATACATATTTTCCTTCCAAAGATACACCATGGTAAGGCCGAAATCAAAAATGTTAAAAATAGAATCAGTAAACCTCTTTGTGTGCTCCAGCCCAGTCAAACTCAGGTGGAGGCGGACGCTTACGCGCGTAATCATTCCATATTTGGAATTCGCATTTCCTAATATGGTAGGATGAAAATACCC